AAAATGGAGGAGGGCACAGGTATGCCGGTAGATTTTTTTTAATCCACCCATGGGGGACGGAGAAAACCCATAGGGTCTTGAGAAAAACGGCCAGAGTCCATTGTTCAACCCATCGGTATTTCGCGGCATCCCATCATCGCAGATTCGTACAGAGATGAAAAAAAAAAAAAAACGAAAAGGGGGTAAAAAAAAAAAAAACATGCCATAAAAAAGGCTCTCCCCTGGGTGAAAGGTCCGAGAGGGTTGGAAGTTTGGAGTAAAAGAAAAAAAAAATGTGTGCGAGGAGATTAGACTTCCGTATAAAAATCTTGATGCCCCCTCCATTGACGGAATGGGCCAGTTCTGCGCATACACCGGGGGCCCTTTCTATTCTTTTGATATCCGGGGCCCCCTGACCCTGCCCCCTTGCTTTCCCATGTCCCCCAGTCAGCATTCGAGCATGGACCAAGGAGAATCAAGCCTTTTTCCATCTCACATAGTTGTCGTATTTTGTCGGTTATAAGTGACGGGGGATAAATTTACGGTGAATAAAAGAGTGAGATATGATACGTGCGGCTTCTTCGATTACTTCTCCTTCGATTGGTAATTACCAGTGATTGTGGTGATCTGGAATTTCAGTACTCACTGTCATGGCCGATGTCAATCTATTCGGTTCGTACCCATTCATTTATTTCCATCAATCCTCAATAATTTCAATTTATTATAAAAATGAGAAAATCTCAATAAAAATTCCTCACCACCCTGTGACAATATCCCAAGTAATTGTAAGAAAAATTCAATTAATAAATTAATAAAATCTGAATCGTCAACATTCGATTACTGATTATAAATTTGCTAAATGTTTTAAACCTCAAGTTATTTTTTTATGGATATTATATAAATTATAAAAGCAATATATTTTTTTTGATACAGTTCATTTATGGAGAATGTGTTCTATCTATTTCTCGGGGATTTCTCCTGGAAACGAGAGAGATAGGAAAAATCCAGAGAATACGTTAAAATTGACTGCGAAACCGAATCGATACGTCGCAATTGCACCGGCGTATTTATTATATACTTTTTGGGCACAATGCACAGGTACATAGGGGTATGTACACGTGCGATGTTTCACTCAAAGATTGTGGAATTGGAGATGGATGATGTCGGGGAATGCTGTAGGAAATTGGTGGGACTCAATACTAATGGATAATAGAATTATTGGTTTCGGTCGGTACCCGAGCCCCGGGGATCATCGTAATTCGATTGGTTCGATGTGTCCTCTGGACGTTTTGACAGGATGAGAGTACTAACAAGCACATCGCCCCGGGGCAATTTTTTTTCTTATCGAGATATTTATTCTAACGTGACATAACAAACTCCTTTCATAATTTATCCTCTCGGCCAAATCCTCCGATGCTGATAATAAAATATATTTCAATATTTCTCCAGAGCGATCATTTCCTTTTTGTCCAAAAATGTATGAAAATAATTATCCCTCAACATAATTATTATAATTAAAACCCAAGTCATCTCATATCGTAATTATCTAATAATTATCCCATCTAGAAATCCAATTGTCGAAAATATCAATAATTCCCCCACTAAATTGATATTTTGGGATAAATAAATTTTACTTTCAGGCTGAACAGTTCGGAACAAGTCCAAATATTTATAATTCAATTGAAGTTGATAATGATAATTTGATATTGAATTTTTAAATGGAATGCTGATAACAAAATATATTTCAATATTTCTCCAGAGCGATCATTTCCTTTTTGTCCAAAAATGTATGAAAATAATTATCCCTCAACATAATTATTATAATTAAAACCCAAGTCATCTCATATCGTAATTATCTAATAATTATCCCATCTAGAAATCCAATTGTCGAAAATATCAATAATTCCCCCACTAAATTGATATTTTGGGATAAATAAATTTTACTTTCAGGCTGAACAGTTCGGAACAAGTCCAAATATTTATAATTCAATTGAAGTTGATAATGATAATTTGATGTTGAGTCTTTAAATGGAATTTTCACTGGGAGACGGAAACAGTTGTTTTTATCTTGGCGAACTTTCCGGAAATTGGACAATGGAGATGTGTCGAAGATTAAATGTCCTTGAGAGGATTTTCTTGAGATGAGAATCTGGCTGGACCAAACAACGATTTCATATAAATAGTTGTGGACTGGGACTTTATTGAAAAGATAGGGAGAGGTCGAGATATTTCTCTCTCTCTTACTTCCACGGAGAATAAAATCCATTGCCCTTCGCGAAATGTAAGTTGGATTGCTTACAAATTGGTCCATACATCCGTAATGCCACCATCAGAGTTCGCCGATGGGGATGTGGGGTATTAGTTCTTCATTCGAGTTTCCCATTATTTTCACCACCTTCTCGTGGAAAATGATTTTCATTATTTTCTCACCGAAAAATCGGGCTCAAGGACTCATTGCTGAATGTTTATTATTTTATAATTAACATAAAATATATCTAAACCCCGTTCTAATTTGATCAATTAATTATTATTAATCTATGGAAATGTCCATTGGTTTTTTTCACTCGATTAAATCAGGAATTTTCGAAAAAATTTCCAGGGAAAATTCCGGAAAATCCTGGAAATTTGAAGAGTGTGAAAAGTCAAATTGGATTTAATTTTCACGACAGTATTGTCAAAAGTAGATTTGTTGCGCATGCTCAATAAACTGATTTTTTTCCCAAAATCATTTTCATTATTTTCCTACAGAAGAATCCCGTCGTAATTTCATCAATTAATTATTATTAATCCACGGAAATTTCTATTGATTTCTTCCACTCGATTAAATCAGGAATTTTCCACAAAATTTCCCTGAAAAATTGCAGAAAATCCTGGAAAATTGAAGAGCGGGAAAATTCAAATAGCATTTAATTCTCATAATCAATCGATTAATTTTTTGCACATGCAATTTTCACCGGGGAATGGTGAAAATGTTGGGAAAAATTTCGCGGATTAATGGAACTTCGACGCAATACTTCGTGAATTTTCCTCTCGGTGTGGATTTCTCACTGGCTCAAAGGGCTGTAAGTGCATCCGACGTTCTGGCACAGCATCCTGTGGGTCCACGTAGGACATTCGTGTGTGTCTCTGGGTTTTTATCCAACATCTGCCCCCGAAAAAACAAAAGCCCATTGTTACTAACGACCGGGCGTCTCTCGTTTCTAAACGAGTGCTTTTGAATCGTAGGTGAAATAACGGACCCGGAGTGAACCACCGTTGAGACAAATATCACCCCTCGAGTCCAGAGAAATGAGTAAATAAATAAATAAATCAATACATCAATAAATTAATTGAATCAATTAAGTAAAACAAAAAATTTGCATTCCGACAGAAATTGTCTCTTTGGAAAAACCGGGAATTATTGCACAGAAAAATAATTACTTCTGTCATTATAATTAAATGACAATTTACGCTTCAAATGCGAATATTTATGTTTAGATTTAATATTTAGTATATGCACGGAGAATAAAAGTTCATAAAATATTACGAATTCGCGTAATCTATGGACATAATGGACATAATTACATAAAAATTACAAAGAAAATCACTCTCCGGTAATTTTTAATTGATGAATGAGAAATCGCCGAAAGCTCTGAATGAAATTGAATTCAAACTTAAGGCATTGAAAATTCATTTGACATTGTGACCGAAATTTCCGGGCATCAGTATCAACGGAATGAAAAATTCATTTGATTTTCGAGTTATGCGAAACTCTGGGTGACGTAAAAAAGGTGGGGCCTCCCCTCTGACCTGCGCGCCGGACCTAGTGGTCACTCTCCCCTGAAACTCCGCCCAAAAAATATTAAAAAATTCCACCTCACAGCGAAATAATTTCCAGATAAATCCCCTTATTGAATTTCAATAACATCAATAATTATTTCCCGTTGGTAATCACTGTCCTGGAGAAAATACTTTCGACAAATTATCTCTCAAGAATATCATCCCTCGTCTGAAATATATTTTTTCATCATTGTACCAATAAAATCTTGAGCTCTCATATTCTGGATAACTCAAGAGTCTCTCGAACATCTAGAAATGTAAATCGATATATGAACTCCTGCCAATCTCTATGTTAATGCTCCTCGTCGTCTCACCCCCTTGAAAGAATACCATATCCACAGGAAACGGGAATAATGCGGCGATGTAACCGGTGCCGGGGAGAAACACTCCTAGAGGGCCCCTAAAAGTGAATTGTTACGTCTGCGGGTGACCCTTGGACCTCTCTGTGGCCGAACCACCGTCACGCTGAATTATCCAAGTCCAGCCAAGAGTCTCATCCATAATATATATTCTCCCTCGTTACTTTTACTTTTATTTTTTTCAGCCAATTCTTTGTTTCATTGCCCATCGATTTAACAACCCGTGCATTTCAGAAAAACCAGAGGCCACAATAAACCATTTCATTCTTTTTTTTTATACATCATCCCTCATTTTTTAACACTAGGAATGGAGGCCCAATCACGATTGCATCATGTCAATATTTCAATGATTATTTCCATTTTCTGTAAATTCATTCCAAGCCCGTCATTTAATCATTGGATAATATTTAAATCGGAGGTTTGCGAGATCGCCTTCAATTGGTGGTCATTTCCATTTTTTAAAATGATTATTGACTGAGAATTTTCCCAGTAGGAAATCGATCTCGAAGATCTAACTCATTTCCTTATATCATCGTCTTGAAGTACATTTAACGGTCCTTGAATTGATCAATAAATTAACCTCATCCAAGTAGAAATAACGAAATTATCGTCAATTAAATGAAAACAAAGCCGAAATCGGACACCATTTTTTTTTAATGGAAAAAAAATCCATATAATAAACATAAATTGAATCAATAACAAATTGATGAATTAATTAATGTTTTGATTTGATTTTCTATTAAATAATGAAGTTATGGAAATTTTTCTCGAATCGGTCTGTAGATGTCCATGAAAATTTCATTTAAAAAATGCTAAAAAAAAAAATAAATATTATTTTTACAGCGGAAACGTCACAAGGAGTTGCCTCTCCTGATACCGTCCAATGTGGTGGCTGTCGTGCCTCGTATCCCCTGGGTGAAATAGTCCGTTTCATCGAGCACAAGGTTAACCACTGTCGGAGCAGTCTCCAGGGCTGTCACAGTCCACCCCCAGCTGCTGCCCACGAGGACTCCGATCCGGAGGACGCCCTAGCCCTTAAAGCAGTTGACCCGGAGAAATTGAATTCAGTGCCGAGTATATCAGCACCGATAAACAAGAGGGCGGGAAGGGTTGAGAGCCCTCCGACACCCCAGGGCAATCCAACGGACACCGGAAGTCCCATTGAACTCAGAGCCAGTGCCAGTTCAACGCCAAAGAGACGGACCGAGGGGAGTGATGATGACAAGGAGGAGGTCAACAAGAAACCTAAGACAGAGTCCGTTGATGCTGATACCAATACCATCAATTCTGGTGAGATTTCTCGAAAATATCGATTATTTA